CGAAAATGCAGGCATTGTTACATTTCATCGTCATTGGGTCCTTGCATCTTTTTAATAATTTAATAATTCCCATTGTAACATTAATAACAGGATATTCAGCGAAGAGACTCTTTTCAACGAACTTATTTTCAAGCTGTACAATCGTATATATATGGTATTTGGAAAAAATTATATCCTGTGAGGAAAACTAAACACTATATGGTGATGACAATAATAATAGAGCGGGTGATGATATATGCATTTATGATTATAATAACAATTGAAGTGCGAATGATAACAAATAGAATATGTAATATATGGAATGGTACATAGAGAGTATATAACTCAGTATAACTCAGTATATAACTCAGTATCATGGCCATAACATTTTCCCACCCCATTAGCTCCCCCTCCCACTTTGTTAATTTAACCTTTGTATCCTTCCTTTATCACTATTATTGTTATTATAATCGCCTTCACTTCAACTAGTTTCCGGTGTTGTTTCACTTAATTGTCTTAATCCTTTTAGAAAACATTGACTTCATCTTGTCCAATTTGTCTAATGCTATTACATAATACTTAATTGGTTTACCATTTTCAACAATTTCTTCACCCCCTTCTGAGTTATATACTCTCTATGTACCATTCCATATATTACATATTCTATTTGTTATCATTCGCACTTCAATTGTTATTATAATCATAAATGCATATATCATCACCCGCTCTATTATTATTGTCATCACCATATAGTGTTTAGTTTTCCTCACAGGATATAATTTTTTCCAAATACCATATATATACGATTGTACAGCTTGAAAATAAGTTCGTTGAAAAGAGTCTCTTCGCTGAATATCCTGTTATTATTGTTACGTTTCACTGTGACTGAATGAATTCGCTGTTCAACATTTTAACATACAAAAAAAAGGTAAATAAATAGCTATTACTCTTGGTAAAAATATTTAAAAATAGCTATACATAAGTTAACTGAATACATTACGGTGAAATTTCACTTTTCTGCAAGTAGCTAATTCTACCACAGTGAATTGAATACTATACTACCCACTGGCTCGAGACGTCGGTGTAGATCACCGAGGCAAGCTAACAAGTAGATCAATGATTCGGTATATGTGAATTGTTTTGTAAGTTGGTCGCGTGAATGTAGGCTTTTCACACACACACACACACACACACACACACACACACACACACACACACACACACACACACACACACACACACAAAAGCTAATATTAATTTTAGGGAGGTATGAGAAAAACATTGTACCACACTGAAGTGAATATGAATAATTACCAAGTTTATGCATAGCCTAATTTTATTTTCACGTTATAGAATTTTATTCACAGTTGGTTAAAACATAAAAATATTATACAGATTAGTTATCATAAAACATGCAGAGTATAATCTATCATAAACATATGTACATCACTCATGTACATTATCAGAATTCCTATACAAAAGTACTACATAATATGAAATTATTACAAAGTTAACTGCTTACATTTCCAGCAACCAAAATAGGTGTAATTATATTGTAAAGTGAAGAACACATGCTATAACATCATATATGTTGTATGATATGTATCTCAGTGTGATGTCATCAGCTTACTTGGAGTATATATGATGCATACAGACTGCAGTATATGAACTTATATAGATTGATTTAGCCACATTATTTGCTTAGTATTTTGAAGTTAAATCATCTGAGATGGCTTTAACTGAAAAAAGCATCTAGGCATAAAAAATAACGACTGACAGTAAAGAATATCAAGACTAACGACCTATGATGTGTTAACAGATCGATTCTACATTACTGGTTACTGGTTCATAAGTTTAGACCGTCGACTTTCAATAGCTGGACAGCGGGTTCACACCTCACTTCACCTACCAACGTTTGCGTAATCAGGTAGTATTATCAACCTTCATAACTTAGATTTTGCTCATAACCGAGTGCACCCACCTGTATACGGTCGCTGAGTTTTACTGCTTACTATACTTCATTAATCATCATCCTAGTACATATTTATGTCCGTTAAACAGATTGAGTACTTATGATAAAACATCCGTATTAAATAAACAGAAGAATCAACGTGGAACTACACTCACAAGTATATCAGTTTAAGCTGCCACATTTCAACCAACAGATGAAGTATGGAAATGGAACGGTGATGATTGAAATCGGACTAAAAGTCCGGGTTTGAAACACTAACCAGCTTGTTGCTGGGCTAAGAGGCCAAGCTGATGATTCCAGTGACCGAAAGTTATGTGTAGTTATCAAGTAAGTCAGTGACATGTAGCCGTCTGGCTATCATCATTTCACTAAGAAGTAATCGACCGATGGCTAAACTATCTGAGGTAGCCTCAGTGTGATAAATTATTTCTATTGTAAGTAACTGAACTGCATGAAACGCCTGAAGCAACATCCATCCACTCGGTCGTTGAGGTTACTAAATTATCTGATAACAATCCTGCAGAGAAAATCAAGAAGATAGACAAGAATACCCTGCTGTAAGCAATGTTCTTGCTCTATATAATAAATTCATTACATTTACACAATAACTGACTCACTGATTCCAAAATCACATGGGCAATAAATTATGCACGAAATATCACCCAACAGATGGCACTGTTTTGTTGTGTGACGTGAGTAATCGAAGTTGACGAAGAAGTTCAAATCCATTCAGCAACCTTATACAAGCACATGCGTGCAGGTAATAAGCCATACCTATCGTGTGAGAGTGCTAGTGATACTAACTAGCTACCCAAACCGTGCTAGGACCAGCGACCCACTTGGTTAAAAGTCCAGTCCCTAAATCAATTAGCCACAACTCCACGATAAATGCAATAAAACAACCCTAGTAGAATTATCGATCAAATATACCGAAAGGTGTCTAATCCCATTCGATTCAAGATACAGATAACTGCTGAAAAGAAGTGAAATCCACAGCAAGCCAATGCTATACAGAATATTTATCACAGGCAACGGAATCCTATCGATAAGGTTTGTAATATAGCTGTCGATCGGCTGATGAAGATTATAGTTCTAGTACAGATAACATTTAGACTGAACAAACAATGTGAGCGATTAGCAATTAGTTCCTCATTAATGGCTCTACACTAATATAGCATTTTCAAAACGTAAAATTACATACCGATCTAGTAGTAAGAGTAGTTCAATGAAAGGTTATCAATCTCAAAGTATCAAGAAGGTGATAATTGATCAGGTAATTAAGACTATTAACTAAAGCATAGATTAATTATAGTAGAAAGATTTTGTGAACAGGTTCTTACATAATTGATATTTTGTATAATGGTTACTAAAGAGCGAAAATGAACTGTTACTTAAAGTAGTGAGTTGTTGACTGCAATTAGAGACAGTAGGGGGAGAAGAAGATGGCTAAATCTGTAGTAATAATAATAATAATAATAATAATAATAATAATAATAATAATAATAATAATAATAATAATAGAGCTATTAAAATATTAGTTATAATCAATTGTGTGGTGAATGAAATGAAGAGTCCTGTTGTAATAAATAAGCTATACAGATGACCAAGGCAAAGAAAGATGCTGCATGAATCTCTTCTGAACACACAGACTTGGCTTGTGCAGTGGATTCCTATGGCTTCTGCTGTATGTAAAAGACGAACTCGTAGAGCGTGGATGAGGTGAGAAGGAATGTGATAAATAACTTTAGAGGCATTATGAATGTTAACTCGGTGGCCGGTGTCAATCAGATGAGAGAGTATTGAGCTTCGTGTCAGTCTGGTTTCCCCCTTACTTAGCCATGAAGGATGATGCTCGGCGATTCGACGACGGACTTGCCTAACTGTACGTCCAATGTAACTAGCTCCACAGGAGCAGTTGAACTGGTAAATGCACATAGAAGAGAAGAAGTCAGATAGTCTGTCTTTAGTTCGTGTGGTCATCATCGGTCGGCTGTAGAGAACACAACATATCTTTTCACCATTAAATGATCTTCTTTTGGCATTTCTTAAGCGTTGTGTCACAATTTCGCTGACAATGTCACCTCGAAATTGTAGTCTTAGGAACAATGGTTTCTTGGAGACTGTAGGTATTCTGGTTTTAGTATTGGATGTGTCCATATTTTTAGCCAGAAACGTTTCTGGATATCCATTACTACTGAGTAGATCATGGATAATTTGAAGCTGTTTGTCAAAAGTATCATCGGAACAGATGAGTCTAGTCCGATGGACCAAACATTTAACTAGATTTCGTTTATATTGCAAGGAGACGAAACTCAAGAAGTGGGTGTATTGACCTGTTGATGTTGGTATCCCATATACACTTCTTCTCATTGTTCCATCCACCTTCCTTGTCAATCGGACACCTAAGAAGGTGATGCTGTCATCACTTTCTATCTCAATGGTGAAGGTTATTGATGGATGGACGCTACTGAATTTATCCAGTGTGATCCTTGCATCGTCCTCGTTATTCACAATCAAGAATGTATCATCTACATAACGGCAGTAAAATTCTAACCCACTTTTGATGCTTTCCAGAGGGCCATTTTCTAATTTTGCTAAGAAGAAATTCGCTAAGATTGGGCCTAGTGCTGACCCCATAGCGACACCATCTGACTGTCCATAGAATTCCTTATTGAAGAGAAAGTGTACATTCATTGTACATCGTAAGAGAAGCTCTTCCAAGGTGGATGCCGTAATTCCAATTTGTTCAGTCTAAATGTCTAAATGGGAATTTTTGCATTTAGACCGAAACAGGTTGATGGTTCGTTCAAGAGTCTAATACACTGAGAACCATTTTCTCAGGGGTACATTACCTAGACAGTGATTTACAGCATGTAGACGCTCAAACCCAACTCCTACACACACCCCATCCCCACCACATTGCCCGTGGTTGTCAACTGTAAAGACGAAAACAGTACCAACTTCAACAGTCAATAACCTTAATATAGTTGATTATTCAGCACAATGACTTTCCAGTATTATCGAAAATAAACATATTTACACAACTCACATAATCATCCTTTCCTTTGGGTACCAGTATATTGATCTCTGAGGATTTCGCAGTTATCACATCAGCAAACTTTGAATCCGCGCTTAAGTATACCTGACATCCATCGGTTTTATCGATATTCACAGTTTGTAACTGGCCAAGGCACTGGAAAACAACAACAAAATTTGTATAATTTATTGCAAAATAAAAGCGAAAAAAAGGTGAATGATAAATAAATTTATTAAGACCTAACAATATAAGCCATGTTTCACATAATATAGGTGTAAAACTTGGGCACTGTAGTAGAATTTAATTCCATATTAGATTTATTTATTTGATATATAGCGCACAGTGAGTGATCTTGATGACGTTTAGAGCATAAATTATCATTACTCATAATCATATTAATGTGTAATCACTCAACTTTCGACATTTGATTTCTATAGTTATGTCACCTCATATGAATTGTTTCTTATTGGTAGCAAACGTTTCCATATTTCTCTCTGGTATAGGTGTTACCTCATTTCTATTACATGTGTTCGGTTGAGTGTTGATTCGATGAACAAAGATTCAGTAATCAATCTCTCTCTCTCTCCACCTGATTATATTGGACTTAAGTACAGTAACTTTATGCCACCCTATTGTGTGATTGTGTGTTAATGCTTGCGTGCATTGCAGTAGCCGGGTTTTTTCTAGATTATTGATCTTGTTTAGGTCTGTTATTCTATATTTAGCTAAATTCCCATGTTCGGCTATTCTGACTGACTCCGAAAAGCTAGTTTCACCTATTTTCTTGACCTCGCAATCATTACATGGAATTTGATAGATTAGATTATTTCTCTAAATTGGATCTATCGGATCCTTAAGCCAGCCGACAAAACTTATCTGTGAATGAGTTCGCAGATTTAAATGACACCCTAATTTCAGCTTTGTTGAGGATTCTACTTAAAGTTTCTGAGGTACCCTCTTTATAGGATAATAAAATAGAGGCTGTGAACTCCTTTTTACTCGTGTTGTCATTATTAGTCGCACTCGTTTCTTGCGTGCCCGTAACAATTTCTTAATAAACTGGTGAGGATAATAATTAACTATTAGCTCTTCTTTTACATGTTTCAATTCCTTGTTTAGGTCCTAGTCATTTTTATAGCTCTATCACTTAGATATTTGTCTAATCCTACCTTAACTGACATTGGATGGGATGACTTGAAGTCTAGATACCTGTTGGAATCTCTGCTATTGCAATGCATGCATTGACACATAGCCATACACAGGGTGGGTGGGATAAAGCCACTGTACTTAAGTCCAATATAATCAGGTGGAGAAAAAGAGATTGATTACTGAATCTTTGTTCATCGAATCAACACTCAACCGAACATATGTAATAGAAATGAGGTAACACCTATACCAGAGAGAGATATGAAAAATTTTGCTACCAATAAGAAACAATTCTTATGAGGTGACATAATTATAGAAATCAAATGTCGAAAGTTGAGTGATTACACATTGAAATGATTATGAGTAATGATAATTTATGCTCTAAACGTCATCAAGATCACTCACTGTGCGCTATATATCAAATAAATAAATCTAATATGCAACGTGTTTCACATAGTTCAACAAAATACAACCACCTGATCCAAGGTAAAGTTGTGCTGCATACAAACGACATGTGACCTGTTAATTTTAACAGAATTATGGTGATACAAATTTTTGATTTCGAATATACACACACAGACACACGAATATTGACAATGATGAATTTACAGAGAGAATAAACTAAATTTTCTGTGAAGTAGTTTATTTGATGTCAATCGATGACAGAAGGAATCAATAAGCAGATGTGTATATTTGTATCCAAAGTGAGTATATTTAGAGAGCTAGGACTCCTAAAAGCCTTAGAACAGTTGATACTTACACCTTCCCATACTGAGGACAGTTACTTCTTCTTGAGGTTGGGGGGTGAAAGAGAAAAAAGGACTAATTTCTATATGACCGTAGAGTTCATGGAACTGAATGATAATTGTGGGGACTGCATGAAATTGGGTATAAACCATTTCAACTAAAAACAATATTTCCTTTTCATCGTTTTTTTTACACATTCTGTACATTCTTCCTAATACTTGTAAAAACGAAGGTTGTTTATATATGTACACCTTTTGGTTGTGGTGGTAATTACTAGCTTTTCTGCTGCCGTTAAACGTGGAAATACAGCATGCGTCTATCCATTCCGACTTCTATCTCCATGACTATTGTCTGTCATGAATACTCATTGATTATCTTTGAATTTTACAGGACCTCTCATCCTACTTCTAAATATTACGACAATAAAGCCAATCAACGTCAATTGAAAAGCTAGCAAGTATCGCCTTCTGAACTTTGGAGTATACTAAACTGTGGTGGACAGTAGCGAAGAGATAACATTTAAGTAACCAGTTATCCTATATAACATTGACATCACCGCTTTGTATTATAACGCATAACTTTTCATATTTCTGTATCAGTGAATTTATTTTTGTAAATTATACGTAGTTTATTTACTTGACATTACTTCCGGTCCACTACATATTATTAGTGAGCCCGATATAGAGAACTTTCTTTGCTTCATAGCTATATTTAGAGTTTGATTTTGTATATTTTTCGTCATTTTGTTTATTCTCCGGCCACTAATGAGTTTCCCAAGGAGTTACCTCTCCAACCTTAACAAATGGGCTGAATAATGGTGATGTGCAGACAAGCTCATTACACGCCATATCGGACATACGACTTCTCCCGTATGGTTTTAACAGCCCCCGTATATGATTTGCTCAAATTGAGGCTCTTTTTATGGCCCCCAACATTCGCTCCCAAGCACCTAAATATGCTTATGTGGTAGGGGCTTTACCCATTGAGGTCACAAGTGAAGTAGCAGACTTGGTCTATAACGTTTCTGAAGAGGCACCTTACGACAAACTGAAGTCAGCAGTTATCCAGTGGACATCTACGTCCGATGAAGAACTGCTGCAGTACTTACTTACCTCTTGTGAAATGGGGGATAGAAAGCCGTCACAACTGCTCCGGTACATGAAACAGCTCACCGGTTCATATCAATTCGGTTAGGCTGTTCTCAAGCAGCTATGGCTTCAGCGGCTTCCATTCAATGTTCGGCAGATACTCAGCATTTCGGCAACGACTACCGAACTAGATAGTTTAGCTAACATAGCTGACAAAATAGTGAAAGTCTACCCAGATAACCTTTCTACTAGCCATTTGACGACAACTACATCAAATAGCCTCCCGTCAACCTCTACCCAACCCTCTAGTGTTGAGTCACAGCAGAATTATCGTCCCGAATCGAAGCGTTGGCAGCAAAGGTGTTTATCACCCAAGGTCCATACGTCGTATACGCTCAACCGATAGGCATCGATCTCACACACCTAAAGCCGCACAAGAGATTTGCTGGTAACACAGAAAGTTTGGCCACAAAGCCAACCGGTGTACTATACCCTGCAACTTTGATAAAAGCTCAACGTCAGACCGGGGAAACTGGTCAGCCGGGAAGTGAGGGCGACAGCTGTTACTGGCAACAATCCCAGACGCCTCTTCTACGTGACGGATAAAAATGATTATGAAAGACGTAACAATGAAAACTTGACTCGATGAAACAACTTTAAAAAAACAAAAACCACTTTAAAGGTGCATAGATCGAAGAATGTTGGCTCTAATTTTATGTCATGCAGAAATATGAAATATCTTGTTTTAGTAAAGCTATCAAGAACGGAACAGATTATATAGACTTTTATAGTCATTCTCCAAAGATAACATTGCGACGACACAACTTATTTTCATGATAGGAATATATTTCACTAGTATTCTTCATTTAGCTTAGTATCAATGAAAAACTAACACAGAGTTGACTATGTAGTCAAGCCAACTTTAACAAATGTCAATTGCATGAAAACCAGTGATCAGTTTCATGCCTTATACGAAACCAACAGTTTAAGAGTCAAATAAATGCAACTAAGCAATAACGTACAGATTACTGTAACAAACGTTGAACTACATCTATTGGTTACTGAAACCTGTGCAAACGAAGCGAAGTTCAGTCTTATGACTAGTTGGAAGTCGAGTGAGTAAATGACCTGCAGCTCCTATCAGCCATGAATTACAGCCTATAAAAGTATCCGTGATGATTACTACCTTGATATAAATAAAGTCGGCATAAACCTCAAAACCCATTAATCGTATACTGATCATTAGTCAGATGCTTCGAAATGGATATCCTAAAGTTTTAATGAGAAGCCATGACCTATGGGAAGGGAAGCAGATGCCAACTGAGGACTTTGATAGATAGTCACGCTTTATATTGCGAATTGATAGGAGTAGATGACTAGCCAAAACGTTAACGCGTTCACCGTGGAACTTGAAGGTCATGAATTCAATCCCTGATCGGATCATGGATGCGTTGTATTGATGAGTTAGTTCTATACCAGAATAAAACAAGCTGTCAATTCCTTGATATACAAAGAAACAAAAAGAAAAATCAATACATTTTATGATTATAGAATAAAAACTAACCTGGATTTGAACACTTTGACAATTCACTATATCAATGGATGATATTAAATGATCAAATACTACACCAGTTTTTTTACAACCATCTATGAAAAAACAAAACAAGAATATTATGAAATACCATGAAAAATGATACACATTATTAAAGTTTACAATTCTATTAGAATAGTGAAGAATTTTAAAAGAAATGCATAAATGTACAGTAAACTGACAAACATAAATGTATAACACTGATGATTTCATGTATACATAACCATACAAAATCCATTGAAATAACTTAGTTATTGTTGTTGACCGTCTCTAATCAAAATAAGAATGTGTGTTTATGATTGTAGAAAAACAAAAAAAATGTTTTATTGTTTTGACAAAACAAAACAGTAATTGTTATTTTTTGAGGGAGTTGTGGAGATGTGGAAATATTTCAAGTTGTTATTCATCGTAAACTGACATCAGTTGGAGGAACAATGGAAACCTGGGAGCACTGGACAGCTGTTTCGTCCAACTAGTATGGGACTCCTCAGCAGTGCGCACCCACGACCCCCACACCAGCAGGGATCGAACCCGCGACCTTCAGGTTCCGCGGCCAGCGCGTTACCATTAAGCCACTGGGTCAGAATCCAATGTTCCATATTTCCAACTTCTGTTAGCTCACGATATAGCGCTAACCGCCACCCAATGTCATCGTTGAGTATTTGTCCTCACGGCCATCAGGCCGCGAAACCTGAAGGTCGCGGGTTCGATCCCTACTGGTGTGGGGGTCGTGGGTGCGCACTGCTGAGGAGTCCCATACTAGGACGAAACGGCTGTCTAGTGTTCTCAAGTTTCCTTTGTTCCTCCAACTGATGTCAGTTTACGATGAATAACAACTTGAAGTAGTTGTTATTATTAAAGTAAAATATTTTTGAGGGAAAAATTTATTGAAGAAAGAAAAAAAATATTATTTCACTAATGTGTTGTTTCTTAAGTCATTGATGAAATAGGATCTTGAAATATTCATTGATTCAAAAACTATATGGAATTAATAAAATGCACTCAGCAGCCTTGAGTACATATTCATGCGGTAGGCAATGAGTTACATTTATTATGTAAAGGCTGATAATGCTACCTGGTTGCTTGAACCCAAGTAGGTGGGGCATGAAGCTCAAACTCCTGGCCCAATGGCTAATAGTTATCTTCTTAAGCCACAGCTCTACATATGGAATAATTCCACTGAAATAAATCAACATTTTTCTACTTATAACTCAAATAGGTAAACATGACATTTCTAGCCTCATAGTGAAAGACAGATTGTAATGTACATAAACAAACAGGTTGTTGAGTTATTGCTATGAATCTCTGTATCTGATTTAATTTATGTTGAATAAAAAATGTAACAGAAGGAATCTGAATTGCCTGTTAACAAACATCAGCTTGGAGCAATGATAGAGTGAATAGTTTAGCAGTAGTGGGATCAAACCTCAGATATAGTTGGAATTGGCCACGCAGTTGCAGACATACCTTACTTACTTAATGATAAGAAATATAAAACTTTCGAGTAATGCTCATTAATGAAATTAATCGATTTCGGATTTGAGCAGTAACAGAGGTGTAAGCTTCCCCAATTGGGTTTGCAAGACAACTGAAGTCAATGATTTGAGGTTTCACGTGATTTGATTCAAAATCGAACAAGATGATGTAGTTGCCTTCATATCTTATCTTCGTAAAATTTACTATGAACATATTATTTACATATCCTCTCTTGTCACCTTTTAATCTTGTGTACTTTTATAAGATGTAACACAATAACACAATGTTTCAATGGTAGTAATACTTCTGAGTGTCTCAACCAAAAGCTTTTAGGATTATATACCTTAAGTTAGTAAAACAAAACAGGTGCAACCATTTTGAAATATGATCGCTAAGTGTGCCTATTGTGATTTCAAACTGCGTTAACCACTAACGACGCATGGATATCGACTGTCAGTCATCAATATTCAACAACTTCCTAGTTGATTTCTGACCTGACTATTTAACAAAGAAGATACAGTGAACGAGTAGGAACCTGTATTTAGACCGAAGTCAACAATCAAAGGAGAATATATCTAAATAGTAATATTGACTGGCTGATTAAACATCTCTTAGTCTAACTGTAGACGTGATTACGACGAAGAACATTTTGATTGGTCCATTCCTCGACTAGTTTTTTTTGGATCCACTTATTCGTGCTCAACATAACAATCATGTTACATGTTCGCATACTTAGTTGTGAGCCATTTCTATTATTTGGGAGATGATGAAGCATGTTTCGATATCATAACACGCTATTTAAGTCATTAGGCTCCATGTACTAAAAAGCAGAACCATGCACCAAAGGTTTCCATGAAACATTTCATCTCTCTATTTTTCTCCTTTCTTTTTATTCAGTTGTGTAGTACACGAGTAATAGACCGTTAAAACAAAGCTTTACAACAGAGTAACCAATATATTGTCCAATACATGAAAGGCTTACTATTTTCAGTATTTTGTATAGAAACAAATGTTTATTCTACTTTTCATATACTTGAGTGATTGTCATACACCAGGGATTTTAAACAACTGAACAATTTAACGGATTCATAACGCATCTTACGTTGGTTAGGAGATATACTTTTCTCAATGAAAAAGATAATTCTAGTGATACTGTAGTCTCCAGGTTGGATGATATAATTAAGAATCGACATATAATCCTCAAAACTGACTTAGAACACAACAGTTATTTTCATGGTGTTGTGTTTTTCAAGCTGGATGGTTTAATTGTGAAACGTTTATTGTCATTCTAGATAACATTATCAGCGCAAACTTTAAAAAGAAATGAGCTTGGGATTTTCTCCACAAGTGGCTTAGTAGCTTATCTTGATAGTCTTATATGTGATTGGTTGTTCCTGTCAAAGTCTTGTCACTGTCTTCATATTTGTATCGATTGGTTATCGTCTTGACGTGAAGTTTGAGCTTCGTCTCATTGCTTTTTATGGGCTGATAGATTAGATCTATGTTATTATGTCTGTTGATTGCTGATTGACCTGAATGCCGAGCTTCTAAAAATTCACTGGCATTCTTTGTATTTTCTCTATCCACGATTTGGACATTTTCCCAGTCAAATTCATGTCCATAGTACTCCGTACGCATTGATATAAGAGAAGATATGTCATGACGCTTCACTGCTAGTTGATATTCATGTAGACAAATATGAAGAAGACCACTACTCTGTTCGATAAAGTGTTTTCTACACTTTCTACAGTTTATCTTGTAGATAATGTGTCGTATGTCTTCCTTCGCTATAGCACCTTTTGGCCTGCGTAGCAGAGAGTGAAGAAATTGTGTGGGTTTATGAGCTAAAACGATTCCAAAAGACTTCGCAAGTACTAACCAGGCTCAACATTCCTTAATTTCGGTGTTTGGACGAGAACCCGTGATTTCAGAGTGATATGGTCGTCTTCTTTTTCGCTGAACCGTTTACATCAAGTGTAGATGACACACATGAAGGATGAAAACAATGAAATGACCAACAATTTGAGCCAGAACGAAAATTACACACGAAACTAATTGAAAAGGTAGGAAATTATGATGCTAGTGGGAATCTGTAGCTCAAATAATATGTCATCAGGGACTGCAGTGAATCTTTTGATATGTATAAAAGAGACACCAAACTTATCAGAAAAACTATGATTACTCTCGTGACGAATGGGTAGATATATCAACGTGCAATAATATACAAAAGTTCATTACGTTAAGTTGTCACACTTCTCAACACAGCATACAGAAATAGGATACAATGAGAACGATTTAATACTAACAAAATATATATAAGAGGTTAGAAACAATATGCCAAAGATGATTACTGAAAATGTTCAAAATTCAGGATAAGATAAAGATTGTGTGTACATCTTCAATATTGTGACTGGTTTTGAGTTATATCACCATGACTCTTTTAAACACTGATTCCTAACAACTCAGTCTTTAACCATACTGTACACACTTTCCTAAACAGTTCAAGTTATCAATAAGAAAATTGATGAACTGATACCAAGTTTTGGTTTCGTTACAACCTAATTTTATCACAACTAATGTTGGTAAATACAGGTGAATAAGTGTGTCAAGAAGAAAAAAGATAAATAAACCTACGTTAGTTGACAGCTTAACACAACTTACATGATGTAATGATGTAAGTTCATCAGAAGGAAGGTTAGAATCAAGATTAAGTGCTTGTAGGTGTATCTGAAACTCTAGGGAAAGTAACGTTTTCTTCAAGACTTAGACAACCATCAATTTAGTGACTGATATCCTGTATGACTGGATTAGGTGTAAAAACTAGTCGACAGATGACAATCAATGCAGCTATCCAGCTGTAAACACCGGCCAAGTTGATCGATAAGATTTTTTTAATTTGACAGCTAGGTTAAGTGACAAAGCATTGCAGTACCCTTTCTATGGTTCTTGATGTCTATCAAGCTTACAAAGATATATCTACCAATGACCCCTAATAAGCACAGAAGTACAACGAAAAAGTTTTCTCCTGATTCAAACTACATAGTAAATAAGTTGTAACAGTGTTGTATATTGCTCAACTTAGTGAACTTATCTCAAACTAGGATGATAGACTTTAGTCAGTGTCAAGCATTAAGGATCTGATAACCAATTCGTAAACATAATTCATTCCTACAAGTAAGTCATAGACTAACTGGCTAAATGGGAAAAGTTGTTGACATTGATAATGAATGAAACAAGTAAAACTCGCTTTGGGAGCATCAGTTTTCTTACAGTTGTAGATATGTCCTAGTGACAAGTTCCAACAAATAAGAAAGTAAGGTGAAGTTAGATACTTTGTAGACTGACTCTACACACATTGAATATAAAACGCACGATCCACTACACTCTCATATTACTTAGCTTACTGGCTTAATCAATACATGGTTTACTCTCAAATAACTAATTAACCTATGATTATTATTTTTTTTATTAAATTTCACTTTATAAACAAAACTTAACTGTTACAATTTACCTACACGAGAATATGTGTTAATTTACTCAATATGAATCATAATGTGCTGATTGAAATAATAACAATGATAACTAGAAGAGAACAAAATCTATGACCCTATTTTAAAATGAAATAATAATGTACATTGAGCATACTTTAATTATAATGCTCTTATTCAAGAAAATTATTATTATTATTAGTAGTAGTATTAATAGTAGTAGTTATAAAATGTCTAATCTTCTTTTGAGTATAGAGTGCAGAATAAAACATGTTTTTTTTTGAGTGACTTTAAAAACCACCTTAACAACAACTGAAATAACCAATCAAATTTTCTTTATTTGATGGAAATTTGCCTATCTAGCTGAAATAATAAAAAAAAAGCGAATTAGTAACTAAAATCGTTGTTAAAGTGGTCTTTAAAGTCATGTGTATTCCACCACTCTTAGTTCATCTAGTTCATGAGGCTAGAAAATGAGAATATATGCATCTCTAACAGTCTTCGATCGCATACATTTCTCAATACTTTATACATTCTTTTGTAGTACTCAATCTTGAAGCAACTAGTCATAGATACGAGTCACCGTCTATCTAACCTGTTTACAACAACTAAGTAGTATTAGGTAGGTAGAAGGACTTACTCTGACGCTTAGTGTGACTATAACAATCTAGTATACAAGCATCTAACTGATTTACTAATTCTTATTAATGATTATTACTATTGTAGTGCAGAAAAACCAGAGTGACTATAAACACCACCCAAAACCCTAACGATTCCAATAACTGAATGTAGTAGACAGACATATACAACTAATGAAAACATACACAGCTATTTAAACATAAACCAAAAAGTGGAAACACTTACCCAACATAATTGAGTTAATCTTTCCTTTAATTTGAATAGTACATTCAGTACACTTATAAATGTATACGGTTTGTTTTGTTTCAGTTGCAACAATTTGTAGGTTTTTTGCATTTTTAAAATTTTCCTAAAGAATAAAAAAAAAGAAAAATTGTTTACAATTATTAGTATAAGTTGTCTTCGTAGTATAGGACGTATTCCGTGGTGTCACCATGTGAGTAATGCAGAAGTCAGGTGTAGAGTTTTGGGGAGAAGAGGTCAGTCTGTCGACGAGGTTGTGAACCTTCATCGACTGAGATAGTTGGGACACGTACTACGTATGCCTAGTCACCGATTGCCTTGCCACACAATGTTGGCTGAAGTAGGTCCAGACTAGAGAAAGGCCCGAGGTGGCCAGACTAAAACATGGCATAAATGTATGAAGTCTCTGACTGTTGGTTTAAGCCATGTAGGACGATGCAGACTAGGTGGTTGGGGTCCACGGGACAGGAGGAACCAGTGGTTGTAGACCCTAGGTGATATGGCTCAGAACCGATGTCAGTGGCGCAGATGTATACACACATTATCCTCATCTTAACAACGCCATACCGAATCTCACCATTTTGTCACTCCTCTTTCCTTTCTTCTCGTACTTTATATTTCTTTTGACTGCATTCACTTATCTTCATCCTTCACCCCACTACCTTTTTACTTGATGTGCTGATATGAGATGTGACAACTCAGACCGTTACGCAGTAATGCCTGGTCCTATGTTGATAATGATGATTAGTATAAGCTATTTTCTGTTGAATAGTGTAATAGGCACAATAAAAAATAGTGCCTTTAGAAAATGTAAACATCGGTTTATTTCAACACCCATTTACAAAAACATAGAAAGATAATATTGATAAAAGTAAACACACATTTAAACACTCAGTAATGATATAACAAAAAAAATGAAGTCAATTAGTCAAAATTAACTAACTAATTACATTTCATACTTGTTGGCACTAGTTAGCAAGGCGTATATCTACAACCCTGACGGGACTGATGTCTCACCTGAGATTTGAACCTGCGTTACAAATCTAAGGAAAAGAAGCACTGAATATATCTGTAATATTATAATGAATGGATTCATGGTATTTAGTAGGATTGAATTAGTTCGCCAACATTCCACTCTTGGCAACATACACCTACACGTTTCAGACTACTAGTTGGTAAATTTACAGACTTGTGTTGATCTAATCTAATCTCGTCCAAAACATCAACCATGTAGAATTATGAAAAACGACATTTAGTTAATTCAGTCATTGTGGAAAGGTTTGTATACCCGGATACGTGGTTGCATGAGTGTTTCTAGATATGTGGTTGATAAGATTTCCAAAAGCAATATACGCCAGTCTAGGTCATTGTCGCAGTAGCCTGTCTATAAAACATTGGGTATGTAACGCATCAATGAGGGTAGTTCTCCTCTACACCCCGAAAACTGAAACTCTCCGAGTTGAGAATGTCCAACGACTCCGTGTGTTTAATTTATTTAGTTTCCATAAGACTACTCACATATGATAGTAACACCATGTTAGTAATTGAGGTGCATGTTTAACTGTGATGGAGGTCATCATCCACTGAGAGAAGTGGACTTCAAAACACATGGGGTTTGGCGTCTTGTTACGAATTTCATCCCAACAGCTTCCACACTGCTCACTTTTCTCTTGTCTGAGTCTGAGTGAACACCCAACCTCGTATCTTGAGATTATAGTAGGTATGGCTTATAATACTGCGGTGTTTTTGTTTCTTCTATTATCGAAAAGTAAGAAAAAAAATTAATAAGTGCTTCTTTGAATGTATCCCGGAGACTGTGTCTTTGATAAACCAGTTCTGTTTCTATTTTCGTCTCTTTTTTCGTGCTGCATAACACTTTTTGCTTTTTCAATGCTGCAATATCATTTTATATGGCGTATCTCTGTTGGTGTACATGTTGTAGCAAGATTGTATTTTCAATGAAACGAAAAAAGTTTCACGTACTGCAGATTCAAAAATTAGTTGTTGGTACCTACACAATAATCACAACACATTATAAATTAGCACTCACAAAAGCTTACAGTTGTACATAAAGACCGATTGCATAAGATACTACTAACTAAGCAAATATTAAAGTATCTCTTACCGACAACTTAATCTCTAGTTTTAGCTGATTTATAGAAGGAGTTTCCTTCTATGACTTATCACCAGTGGGTGACCCAATGGAACTGTATAATCTTTATTGCTTACCACTGATCGAAATCAATTGATCATTTTTAATCGTCTGATTATGTGTTACAGTGAAGCACTGTATTTTGATGTTAGGTGTTGCGAACCAATTAACAGGATTATGTGCCTTGTGCATTTGTTAACACTCGTCAGCAAGGCATAAATGCAACCATGAGGAAACTGGCCTACCATCAGTGATCGCGACCTGCACTACTCAGTGCTGAAGCCAGGAACCTGACCATCAAGCATTTTAGGCTACAACGAACCCCATGTAGGATTGGATTATGTACAAAATTCGTCTTGCCACTTTGCTTAGTGGTCACACGGCAAAAGTTGATCGATAGACTGGGATAGGTGCTACAGACTAGGGTCAGGGTATTGGTTACCCACTGGTGACCAGTTTGTGTACATAATCCAGTCCTGAACAGTTTGGTGTTTAAGTCTCTGGCTTAAGTACTAAATGATGCAGATCCGAATCACTGAGAGAACATTAGTTTCTTGGTGACTGTAGATTCGGCATACTGGTGAGTGTCAAAAAGCATGAAACTTAGTTCAAGTATGGCTTTCTTTCACGTGACTCTCAAAATACCTGACACTTAACTCAGTTTTGATATGTGATGTAGCAGAGCCTCCAGAATTCAAAAGGACCTGAAAATCACGTCGGTTACTTCAGGTGAGTTATAAGTCTGTAAGATTGAAGGAGAGAAAATGAGAATGAAATCTATATGGCATTACCACGGCAATCCAGAAGTCGCCAACTCGGATTTTGCAGCAAATCGGAATTCGCTTCAATAAATGCCTATAATCGACGCCGTTTTTACCGCTCGTTTTGGTCAGAGTCCCTGAGATGTGTAGTAAAATTGTATCTCAATTGCTTTTACGAGATCATAATCACAGCCATGTAGAATGATCATTATAGCAGCAAAGATGGGTAGGCTTGTAATTACATGATTTAACATAAGGTTACCCATTGCCATTAAAAAATTAATTTTAGTCACAAAAAGAAAGCCGCATTAGCCTACTTCACAACAGGGATTGCTTTTACTACAAAATGAAGAAGCTCGGTGATTTAAGCAATTGAGTTTAGAAAAAAATGTCTTATGTTAAAGACATTTCTACCTACTTTGACCGGGGCAACCGAGTAGCGTCGTAAGGAATCACACAATATGTGTGGTTCAAAGCCAAGATAATAAAGCGTGTTGCGAGTTAAGCTACACTGTTGTTCTCATTGGCAGATAACTATCTAGTCTTTCCTTCCTGAAATAAAATCCGCCTTCGAAATAAGCACAGAAATGTTTCCAATGACCATCCAACTGCGGTAAACTTTTGCCAAACCTATCCAGCAATAACTGATAACAATATGATCTCTCTGTATCCCTCGTCAAGTTGAAGCGGGTGGATGTCACGTCAGACAGTGTCGTTCTCTGTCTGAAGTTCGTGCTGGCCAGAAATAAGTGTTTGTGAGCACAGTTGTCGCGAGCGATCGGCGTCTTTTTTTTCTTGCAACTGAGATTCTAAAAACAGCACATGAATGCCTTTCTGACTGACTAAACTTACCCACTTGTGCATTGAAATCACCTGCTACAATAATCATGTCTATATCTTTGGCTTGCAGGAGACTAGATACTCTTCAGTAGAATTCATATTTCAATTTATCCGTACTGCAATCAGTGGTACCGACTTAAGCAGAGTTTACAAAGAGACAGCAGTGAATTTCACTAGTCCTTTTAGTCGTCACTGCAGCGTTCAGTCAAACAGCACATAGGCGACTGTCAATTGGGATTCAGTCGGGCAGTGATACTTTCTGCCTTGACAAAATGATATACCTGCAGCTGCTGGACTGCGAGAACTGGCTATCGAATCTCCAGAAACTTGAAGTGCGAGTTCCGCAGATTCAATATATTGGCCAAATGTGGTTAAACGATTAGTAGATTTGGGTCCTGTAAGCATGTCTTACGAACACAGCACACATCCATGGCCTGAGATGCTCACTTTTTGATTAGCGAAGCTTGTTGGCCGATTTAACAGAGAGTGAGCACATTGAAAGCCTTAATGTGCAGTGGAATTGTGATTTCAGGAGACCAAGGATGCTAGTACGTGAAGTCAGATCGTTGTCCGGAACTGCACAGCTGGAATATTGACCGAGACACATAAGAGAAGACTAGAGGTCAAAGATGTAAAGCGCTGATAATGATCCGAAGGAACTTGAGTGTTCACAGAGTTTCGAAGGAGCTTGACAAATCCTGGTTGACAACGTTGTGGAAGGTTACTTACTCTTCAGGTACCTGATAACAAAACTGAGTTAGTGGTGCGTAGGGACAGATTCCACAGGCCAGTCACACACGACCTCTTTGGAAGTTTAATCGATTAGAATCCTGTCACCAGGAGACCTCATATAGTGGAGGGATATTCTATCTTGAAGCCGAAATTTTCTAACCCCCCTCCTACTCTAACCAACATCTCGTTTGGTCATCCAAGCGAAATACCTTACTGCTTTCAGAACTGGTTTAGTCAGCAGAAGTAGTACGCCCTCGAACCCGCTCATACCGTAGTTATTTACACTATGACGATAAATGCCTTTTATCTTACTGCTATTCAACAGAATTTTCTAGAATGTAGGACACCAAGGAGACAAGTGTTCTCATCTGCATAGCTCGTCGGGTCATTTTGATATGCAAGCCCGATCACCACGTCAAGTTAGCAGCTTTTTGTCGGATTAAAAATATCACAATGCCATAGATTACTCAATCTGTAGGCAACTACTCTCTAATTTCCAAATGACTTTTCAAGCATGCTACAGTCCCGAAGAAGGAGTATACTGGTTATTGAAACTCAACTGGGTTATCATATAACAGACAGTCCTAACAACCAACGGTTAGAGTCATTTTTTGTTGGTAC